GCTCCTTATCCATTCTGGAGAGCTTCAGTCCGGTTCCTAAGAGTGGTCTGAATTTGATATTTATTATTTATCAAAACCCTTCAACCAAAAAAAAAAAAAAAAAAAAAGCTCTGAACACAGAATTTATGCAGAATAATAAACTAAACGTCGTAAACGACCTTTTTTTTTTTTGTTGTTATCAATCTCCATTCTATTGCTGAGCAGCTGCACCTAGTGGAAAACGGGTTTCTTTTTTTATTTTTTTATTTTTATTTTTTTATTTTAAACAGGACCTTACGATCCTGGCTCCTTTTCCATTCTGGGGAGCTTTCAGTCCGGTTCCTATTCCACCGGGGCCAAGTCCCACTAGCAGCGTTGAGCTTCCTCAACGCCTGCATCTGGACGTTTTTTGCGATGATGTGCAGAAGGTGTTGAGTTTCCTGAATGCACGTCTCCACAAACACGTCCAGATTCAGACGTTGAGGTAGCTCAACACTGATCGTGGGACTTGGGTCCCGGCAATCTTTGATCCTTTTCTAGTACTGCTGAGGCGACGGATTTTGATGACGTCACCACGGAGAAGGATGAATCCTTCTAGCGTCCAAGGATGAATCCTTCTAGCGTTCAATCTTTCTAGCGGCAGGGCCACTTGTGGATAAATATATTGTCACAAAATTATCAGAGCGGAAAAACGAAAAAAAAGAAAAAAAGAAAACAAAGAAAAATAAAATGATTTGTTTCAGAACCTCTTGCGTACAAGGCCGCCCACGTGGATTTTATAGGTTGAGCGGCGGCTGCCCCCCTACCCCCGTGTGGCATATCCACCACCACTTGCACACAGCCGAAGGCGAAGAGGCAATGGAAAAGAGGAAGGGGCAAACATTACAGCCAAACATTACGGAATCAGGGGGCAAACTAATCCTGGATGACAAGCCCCAGATGCAAACACCGCCCCCCACTTGCACACAGGCCAAACGCCAAACGACGACGGGACAAACCAGCCAGGATTCAAAACACGATAGAGCATTCCACACCACCAACAGTTGAATCCTGGCTGCATCAAAAAAACAATCTCAAAAAGAAAAAAAGAAAAAAAAAAAACAATCTCCAGATTGACGATGCGCACGTATAAGCACCAGGCCCGCACAATTTTTTTTATTTTTTTTTTTATTTTTTTTTTTTAATTTGGACCATTTCTCGATTTATGCGTGTCATCCTTGCACAGGGGCCATTTGCTAATTTACCCTTCTCTGTATCGTTCCAATTTTAACGGATGTCCCCCAAGTCCGCTACAAAATTTTTTAATGGCAGATGAACAATGAGACGCTCTCCACTGATGCCACGTGTCTCACTCTGGAGCCAATCCCTCCGCCGCACTCATGATTGTGGTGGGTGCTCTCTCTGGGTGAATCGGCCCAAAATTCGGGGATTTTCGCTGCATCACCACACCACAAGCTGCTTAGCAATGCCGTTGAAAATTGCACGAACGAAACAATGCAGGCTCATAAATAAATAAATTAATTAATTAATTAAAAAAATCGAAAAAACAAACAAACTCGAAAGCACTATAAAACCCTATTCGGAGTAGCTTTTGGAGTTCACCAAATATATTTCTCCG